CGCTATTTAGAGAGCAACTCTTGTGAACAAATTATTAGCTAACTACACAACGACTAGACTAACTGTAATTTGTTCTCCAGCAGCATGAGTAGGAGATGAATGTTATCCGATAATTATACTGTGAGAATATGATGGGTTGAAGGTTGACAATGGTGAAAGTGAGGCAGAAAGGGAGAGAAAGAGTGTGTGCGTGTGTATGACACAGACAGACATTGAGACAGACACGCAGACAGAGGAAGGGGGGAGAGAGAGGAGGGAAAAGAAGGGAAAAGAAGGGAAATGTCTGTCCGAGGGTGGAGGTCAGACACCTGTGGCTAGACTCAACAAACTTTGTCCCCTGATTACTGTGGGGTATGTGCCTAACACAGTTGACTCGAGGTTGTCGCAAATGAAACGAATGTCACATGACACGATGCCAATTGGAACTCCTCGATGATTCTTGGAATATCAACTGCACCTGGGATCATTTATTTTTGTTTTATTCTTTGGGTTTTGTTGGAATAATGTAATACATGCACAATTGTCTGTAAATTAAACAAAACTCTATCATGGGTGTTGATGAAGTCATCACTACCGGGTCTACGACCATCATAGTCGGCAGGTCCCCTCGACACCCGCCCGCCTGGGTGTCAGCACTTGACACACACACACACACACACACACACACACACACACACACACACACACACAAACAAACAAATAACTACACCAGTCACAGTAAACAAGTACATTTTAATTTGATTTGGTTATATTTTCTTATACTAGGAGGGGCACCAGGGATAATCTGTCCCTTCCCCGTCCCCTCATTCCCCCTCCCCTTCACCCCTCTCCACACATCCCCTCTCATTCCCTCCCCTCCCACATCCCCATCTTCCCTCCGCCTCCACTCTTCTTCCCGCCCTCATCTCCTTTCCCTCCCTCTCCCTGTCACTCCATCTTTCCTTTCATCTCTCCCATTTTCCCCTTTTTCTTTCTCCTCCTTCTCCCCCTTCCTCTCAGTTCTCTCCCCTCTCTGCTCTTACCCCCCCCCCCTCCAACCTCGAACAGACACATTTGCATTTATACAGAAGGAGTTCCAGGTTCCACCCGGGTCTCTTTCCCCACCCCGCTCTTTCCCCACCCCCCTCTTTCCCACTCTTCACCCCTTGACACTCATGGTCCCCATCTCCTTGGTCCCCATCCCTTCCCCTGGTTCCTCCCTCCCCCCTCCCCCCATTCTGTTTGAAAATGGATTAAGTGAAAAAAAACTGTACATCTCAGATTATATTTATATTTTTTTATCTTTTTCCTTCTTATCTTTTTTCTTCTTACCTCTTTTTTTCCCCCTTTACGTCACTCCTCTCGGCCTCTTCCTTCTCCTTCCTCCCCCCCCCCTTCTTTCTCTCAGAAAATTGATTATCAAGAAGCACTGAAACAGCTATGAATGTGTCTTTCAGAAAATGTAATACTACAGTCACTAAAATCTCCATGTGAATGGCACTTATACGTCACACTTGACTCCATAAAAATCACCTGGAGGGAACCTATAATCAAGATTTCTTGAAGCATTTAACTTAGGCCTACCCCCCGACCCGCCTATGTCAGTCCTGTACCCCAGACCATTTCCCTTTGCAAATTTGGGTGAGGCTAAACCCAAGTATCTGTCGACCAGACCACATACACTAGAAGGTGAAGGGATGACGACGTTTCGGTCCGTCTTGGACCATTCTCAAATCGATTGTATCCAAGTATCTGTCCTTCATCTTTTGACATATTATTATAGTATAGATAACTATACGACAAATTCACATGACTATTTTCATTCCGAGAGAAACGGAGAGACATACAGTGAGAGACAGACAGACAGATATATAGAGAGACAGACAGACAGATATACAGAGAGATGGAAAAAACGAAACAGAGAAGAGGTCGACCCGGGCATCACCGGGTACCAATGGGCAACACACATAATTATATTAGATATGATATAATATACATCTACGTCAGTGTAAAGGGAAATGTCTATTTGTGGTTGGAGATCAGACGCTCGGGGCTTGCATCACGGAATTTTTCGTGGTAATTGCTGTTGGGTACGTGACCAACATGAATAGATCGGGAAAAGTATAAAAGAAAAGGGTGCTATACATGACCCCTGTGCCCAACACTACTCCCAACCATGATTCTTTCAACATATTAAATGGACCCAGAATTATTATTATATTTTTCAATGTATATTGTGGGTTTCGGGAGGCAGGAAATGTTGTGTTGAGAGGTGAGAAGTAACAGATCACTATACCTGGTATACTCACACTGCATGATACACTACTTGCCTTAATAACCTTTCTCAACGTCACAGTGAGAGAGTCTGAGGGAGTGAGAGAGCGGGAGAGGGGTAATACATGTCCGCTGTTGAGTTGTGAGAGGCGAGGAGGAAGGGGGGGGGGGGTTGGGAGGAGGTGTAATACACTAACCGCCATCACAACACCACCACCCGGTAGCCTCCAAAGCGCCCATCCAAACACTGTACATACTCCATCCTTTAGTGGCGTTTTTCTCCCCGAAACCCCCGAGAGAGAGAGAGAGAGAGAGAGAGAGAGAGAGAGAGAGAGAGAGAGAGAGAGAGAGAGAGAGAGAGAGAGAGAGAGGGTGGGAAGAGGAAAGTGAGGGAGGCAGACTGAAACAGGAAGACAGAATAACTCGGACATAGATGGATCTGGGCTATCGGGTCGTTTCTGGTACCGCCTGGCATCCTACTTAGTATATTAATACATATATATACATACATACACTGTCAAAGGGTAGCTGATAAAAGACGTCTATTTCTTATAAAGCATTGCCTTTATTTTAACAAAAGCCTCTGCATACATATATATATATAAAAACTGTACAATATATACATTCCAAGCCTGATAGTCAACGAGCATTAGTATACTTTACACCAAATACAGACACATTTGGTGTTTACATCCCCGCGACCAGCAGCAGCAGGCCACAGTCTCACGTTGTCTGACGCACTGACATTGGCTCAGTCTTTAAACAGACTTGTATACACTGAAGGTTAGCACAGGAGACATACCTAGCCGTGCTGCTGAAGGCGAAGGGACGTACTGGAGACGAGAACAGTTGGTGGGGTACAATTAATCAACAGGTTAAAAAATAGTACAACAATGATTATACAAAACGTAATACTATACAGTATGTATCACTGGATACACAGGTTATCCAAGCGAATGTGGAATGTGCGTTTGGGAATGTATGTACATTGCATATGTATAGAGGTGCATACATGGGGGGGGGAATGTTTGTACAAAGCTGTGGTCATGAACGCGTGGGACGCGAATGCACAAGTAGAATGTCTTTGAAAAAAGGGAAGAAAATCAATGCCAAACTTGTACTGGAGTCTGCAGATGTGTGTGTGTGTGTGTGTGTGTGTGTGTGTGTGTGTGTGTGTGTGTGTGTGTGTGTGTGTGTGTGTGTGTGTGTGTGCAGATGTGTGTGTGTGTGTGCAAATGCCCACAAATTACATTTGTTTTTTTTTCCCTTTGGAATTTCAATAAGTGGAGCAGCTATGGGAAGAGCTCTGTTTTTTGTCTGGGACTTGGATACCTCTCAATAATTGGCCACATGGTTCCCATAGGCTAGTAAAACATGGCTTAACATTAATACAATACTGCTTGAGTCTTTTTTCGAATGAGAAGTTCACGTACCTTTCAGGTACTTGAGCAACGACAGTGTTATTACAAAAAAGAGATCATGTTTATGTTTTTAGTCAAACTGTCCATAACAACTACACTACATTCATATATTTAAAAAAAAAAGGAGATCACTGATATAATAGTGGGAAAGGTAATGTTATAATAATACTTAAGGGTTAGTTAACAAATATAAGGCATTATGACAAGGCACATAAGTAGTATTCGGAAGCATTGTTTAAGACCAACTTTGGGTTCTAAGGCACAAGAGTTATTGTTTACGACACGGAATCAAGTGGACGCAACATGTATCTCAGCTTAAGGATACATGTCGCAACATGTATCATTGCTTACAAGATTAGAACATGTTGTTTTTTTTAGTAACTTGGGGTAAAGCATGAGAATCAACGTGGACTCAAATGGTTAATATAGATATATTTAATATATATATATATATATATATATATATATATATATATATATATATATATATATATATATATATATATATATATATATATATACAATATATATATATGCATGTCTTTATATTATGATACTGTTAGCGATTTGGTTTATAACATTATGATACAAAAATAGCCAGAGACTCGTCCAATCTTAAACGAGCCCATGAGATTATTACATACAATTTGTTGTGTTAAATCATTTTTAGTCCCTCTGGGTGTAGGAGAGTAGTGTAATGATCTCTCTCTGCTGCCTGACGCTGGAGGAACTTTCTATGAAATTCACAAATTCGTCAGTTTTCACAGAAGTTTTACGAGAGAGGTTACGCTACCAAGACCTTACATATCTGCCTGATGCATTACAGCGTGTTACATAACAGTATGTTCAAATAAACAGGTTCAGTGGTTGCCCATATACACCGAAGTGTGTGTGTGTGTGTGTGTGTGTGTGTGTGTGTGTGTGTGTGTGTGTGTGTGTGTGTGTGTGTGTGTGTGTGTCTGTAAAAATCGTCATGGTGAGTGATTATGGGCTGATTACCAGCGGCCAATGACATGGTGGTTGAAGGTAGGGGCAATACACCGCCGGCATCACAGGATAACAAACGCAGGCAGTTATACACTAGGTCTCAGCCAACCACACACAGAGGGAGCTTTGGCGTCAGTAAATCATGTCTTATTTAGGCTCTGCTGCACTTCTGACTAGACATTCACAAGCCCCACCCCCCCACCCCCCAAAGAAAGTTATATGTATATCTATGTATATAATATAAAATGCAAACCCCAAAATGCATATATATATATATATATATATATATATATATATATATATATATATATATATATATATATATATATATATATATATGAGTTTTTTCTTGTTTAAATCTTGCCATGCTTTCTTTGGAGAAGGATCTGGTTTGGATTATTGTAATGGGTGTAGATTATAGTTAACTCAGACCGTCTACAGATCACCTTCAAAGTCCCTTTTCATACCCTCGGGCCGTTCTCAGTCCCTCAGACCATTCTGGGACTAGAATACAAAGATAGACCCTCGCATCGTGACTGTAGTCTGATATCTTCCTCGGGCTTCCCAAAGAGGCTGTTTTGTTCTCTCTATATTCCTATGGCCTCCCTTTCCTTCTTTATTTTCTGTCTTTGTCGCTTTGCTGGTGCAGTATGTTTGGTTGATTACAGACATCTGTGAAAAAATAACAGGAATTATTAGCATCACTTTGGTTTTGATAAATGGTTAAAGGGAATATGATTAATGTGCATTACTAATTTGTAAATTTCATATATATATATATATATATATATATATATATATATATATATATATATATATATATATGTTGTGTTGATTTAGCTAATAATAATTATTTTATTGAAAATTCTTAAAGTATATGTGCGTATAATAAAGAGAAAAATATTTGATGGTCATTTTAATGCAATTCTATTATGTTAATAGTAGTTTTTGTCCTTTAAAAATTCCCAGTCATGTCTATGACGCAACTTTTGTAAAAGGTCTGGTCATCAAATATGGGAATCTACCAGCCTAACTAGCAATTTAAATCAGCTGAATGCATTACAATCGTTAACCCTGGGAACTATAGGCACTCTAGAGGCCAGGAGCAATTCACTCGGCCATTCACTGTATGAACTCAGATGCACTGAACCCTTTTCATTCCAAAACCTACCGATTATCATTAGCATTAGAAAGTGGACAGGGGGCCCCTTTTCCTCTTCTACCGCCAGTTGCATAGGTCCCGGAGCCATCAGCCACCGCATCGGGACGTCCTTGGGACACGTTGGGCATTGGGACGTTGTTGGGATGCCTTGGACGCTTGAACTTCGTTGGGAGACCGTGGACATTGGAACGTCGTTGGGACACCTTGGATATCGGGACGTCATTGGAATACGTTGGATGTCCTAACGTCGTTGCGACGCCTAGGACATCGGGACGTTGTTGGAACACCTTCGACGTTCGCACAAGGGTTTGGAGAATCCACGAGGAAGACTTGACTTCTAGATATCAGTTACAATAAGGCTGTAGTGCCATTTTCTGCACGTACTACAAATCAGCGTATTAGAGGTCGCTGAATTTTCCTTGAACACGAGAGAGGAGACGCGGGGACCTGACGGAGCCAGTATTGGACCCCTGACGAGGCATTTGCTGGAGAAGCTTCTTTGGAGAGACGCCCACTGGTAGCGACCACCGACGGCTGATGGCTGCAGACGGAAAGAGCGAGTTCTTTTGTTTTCACGTGGAGCTGTGGTGTCCCCCATCCTTCAGAAGCCTGGAGATGGAGCTGCGATGGTCTTCTACAGGATGGAAGGAGACTCGATGAAGACGTTGGAAGCCCTCTTGGCCTTCACTGGGGGGCGGTACATCTGTCAAATGGTAACGCAGGTGTCCTAAGACCAGCTCAGCGTGGACAGAAACCTCACGTAGAGCAAAATAGACCATTTGCCCGTTGATGATGATGATGATGATGATGTAGCCGTACTGGGGGAAGTTGACCAGTAGTACACGATGATAGAAAAGCATGACTAGATGTTCCCTCTACAGCATCTGGAAAAGAAAGAAAATACGTTTATTTTTCACAATATTTCAACCGGAATACAAGTCACATTAGGAGAATTTAACATCCCAATGGGCCAAAATAATTATGTGAATCGCGGTACTAACTAATGAATTCGAAGAAACGTTGAACCATATATAGAGAGTAGAGCTCTACATTAAATATACGCCTCTCTATACGCTTATCCTTCCGTCTAGACAGCATTGAATTCAATTTCTCCAAAGCGTGGCCCGTTTCAATGGCGGTATTCAATGGACAGAATTATATTTTCCAGTTTTACAAAAGACAAGTTAGCGGGGGGATAAAGTTCGCGGGCAGGGAAAAGCTACGGTAGCAGTTGGCGCCAGCTGAGAGATTTCAACGCCAGGGTGGTAGTGATCCTTGCTGGGGGTCGGCGCCAGCCAGCGTGCCTCCCACACCACTACTATTTATCGGTATTCGCCATAAATGCCCCCGAGCATAAATCCATATCAGATCTAATCTCCGTTTCCTCCACGGGAGTACAAACGTGTCCATAGAACAGGGTCAGGACGAGGGACGAGGGGGAGAGGTGAAGGATAGGGAGGAGGGATGTTGGTGGGGTTGGGGGGGGGATGGCTCTTGTACCGTGAGTGGGGTGGAGGGGATGGGGGTCGGGAAGGCCGAGTTACCAGGTATGCTATATTATGCTCACACTACTGCGCACCAAATATATCGCATCCGTCAAAATTCGTGCGCTCGCCGAGCGGATATTTACACAGATGCATTGTAGTACAGAACTTTGCCTATCAAATACTGCATAATGAAGTGGCTGGGAGGAGGGCGGCGGAGTTGGCCATCGTGTGTGTGGCGTCGAAGAGGGACAAAAGCGGGAGTCTGGCGGGATACGGCCCACTGCACTACTTCGCTCCAGTGATTACTGCCGCGTCCGTTCTCCTGCTCTTACTCACGACTTCTTCCTGCTCTTAAACTCGTTCGATTCCGCGCTCCCGCCTATATTTATCATCGCCGGAAGATCTGTAACTGCCGATCGGAGCCAAAGCCAGAACTCACAGGGGGAAATAATTTTATCCTCTGCTATATAAAAGGATAGGGAAACGTGGCCCAACCTTATTTATATATATATATATATATATATATATATATATATATATATATATATATATATATATATATATATATATATATATATAGTTCCCGTTACCACAGGCGCTGGCAACGGGAACCAGGAACTAGGGGAATTTTGCCAAATAAAATCCTTTTCCCTATCCTCTCAGTGGACCAGCAACGATCTCCTACGCCGGGCACCAAGCGTAGGATTGCCCCAGAATGTTACGAAAATACGCCTTGACGCAAGGATTGCCATCTCCAGGCGGAGGAAGATTAGCCGGGGATTTGAAGGATGATTTTTTCCCCCCTCTGCCCGAAGATGGGAAATATGGAGCGTTACAAAGCATTTTACCGTATGGTTAAGTATTTCTCCTTCGGGTATTCAGGGCGGGAGTGGGGAGCACTAATTCATATGGTCATATTGGAATGGTGTGTGTGTGTGTGTGTGTGTACTCACCTAGTTGTACTCACCTAGTTGTGTTTGCGGGGGTTGAGCTCTGGCTCTTTGGTCCCGCCTCTCAACCGTCAATCAACAGGTGTACAGATTCCTGAGCCTATCGGGCTCTGTCATATCTACACTTGAAACTGTGTATGGAGTGAGCCTCCACCACATCACCCCCTAATGCATTCCATTTGTCAACCACTCTGACACTAAAAAAGTTCTTTCTAATATCTCTGTGGCTCATTTGGGCACTCAGTTTCCACCTGTGTCCCCTTGTGCGTGTTCCCCTTGTGTTAAATAGACTGTCTTTATCTACCCTATCAATCCCCTTCAGAATCTTGAATGTGGTGATCATGTCCCCTCTAACTCTTCTGTCTTCCAGCGAAGTGAGGTTTAATTCCCGTAGTCTCTCCTCGTAGCTCATACCTCTCAGCTCGGGTACTAGTCTGGTGGCAAACCTTTGAGTGTGTGTGTGTGTGTGTGTGTGTGTGTGTGTGTGTGTGTGTGTGTGTGTGTGTGTGTGTATGTATGTGTGTGTGTGCGCGCGCGCTCCCTCGTGCTTGTATGTGCGCGTTGTAAATGTGAGAGCTTACATGCGTGCATAAGTGCGTGCATAAGTACGTGCGCGTGTATGAGTGTACACTCGGCTCTATATGCCTAGATTGTTTATAGGATCGAGTATAAGCTCTTGAACCCAAGCTTTCCTCTTATCATCAGTCCATTCCAATGCATTTCTCTCCATCTTTCCTGTCACATTTCCTTTTGAAGCGGTTTTACCGATTTCTTCTCTATCCTCTATTCTTGCGATCCGTTACGCTTGCTTGCGACACATAACCAAAAAAAACTGTTTCCTGTCGTGTCTCTCCGGCTCATCTGAGGATCTAGTTACCACCCGTGTCCTCTGATTCCGCCTTTTCTCATCTTAACAGTGTCCCCTTTGTCCGGCCCTGTCAGTACGCTAATGTGATTTGCGTTCAGTAATTATTTCAGCGAAGGTGAGTTCTTCACCTTTAGATCGCGAGTGTCTACTGATTGAAGAAGTTTTCAGTGTGTGTGTGTATTTATATATACGTGCATGTGTATAAATGTGTGTGTAAATATAAGTATGGAAGTTCGCATGTATGCATGCTACGTGCGTGTGCGTGTACTCACTTAGTTGTGCTTGCGGGGGTTGAGCTTTGGCTCTTTGGTCCCGCCTCTCTACTGTCAGTCAACTGGTGTACAGATTCCTGAGCCTACTGGGCTCTATCATATCTACATTTGAAACTGTGTATGGAGTCAGCCTCGTGTATGTGTGTGTGTGTGTGTGTGTGTGTGTGTGTGTGTGTGTGTGTGTGTGTGTGTGTAATTACCTAAGTGTAGTTACAGGATGAGAGCTACGCTCGTGGTGTCCCGTCTTCGTCCCGTCTTCGTGTGTGTGCGTGTGTGTGTGTGTGTGTGTGTGTGTGTGTGTGTGTGTGTGTGTGTGTGTGTGTGTGTGTGTGTGTGTGTGTGTGTGTGTGTGTGTGTGTGTGTGTGTGTGTGTGTACAATGCCAAAACAACACCAGTGTTCTCGGGTATTGCAAGAGTTTAGTTTGTGTAAGACAAATCGACATCAGCAAAATCAATAGTTACCAAAAGGAAGGTCAAGAGGGCAGCGCCCAGGAAGATGATGGAGGGTAGCGTGACCTTGGGTGGTGAGGGGGAGTAATAATACCAAAATAGAAAATACAAAAAAAAATCAATTAACTTTGAAACAATTAATGATAATGACACCAAATAACAGACGAAAGGCTTTGATGCTAATAAAATTCGTGTGTTTGTTGACTAATAAATCTGAAATTAGTAATAAGGTATTATAATGGAATTTTTTTGATGTAGCAATTAAAATTGGAAACATAACGATCCCCATTTTGAAAGGAGTAACCCCTAGAAGAGCAATTAAAAATATATTATTAGACAATAAAATAAACAGAGAACTGTATCAAAGATTGTGGAGGCACTAATTACAAAAAATAGACCAAATAGAAATGTTGATGGTAATTCGTCTTTTCATTATTTCAGAAAACAACAAAACACATCAGTTTACGCCTTTTTTATATGAGGATAATTATGATCGATGATATAAGATTAATTATCGTAATTATGCAGATATTACCCTAAATTTTGAAGATAGATACTCCCCTTAATTTTGAAGATAGATACTCCCCTTAATTTTGAAGATAGATACTCCCCTTAATTTTGAAGATAGATACTCCCCTTAATTTTGAAGATAGATACTCCCCTTAATTTTGAAGATAGATACTCCCCTTAATTTTGAAGATAGATACTCCCCTTAATTTTGAAGATAGATACTCCCCTTAATTTTGAAGATAGATACTCCCCTTAATTTTGAAGATAGATACTCCCCTTAATTTTGAAGATAGATACTCCCCTTAATTTTGAAGATAGATACTCCCCTTAATTTTGAAGATAGATATTTCCCCTTAATTATGAAGAAAGATATTCCTCTTAATTATAAAATTAGATAATCAGTATGCAGATTAAAATTATGATCATATCATTGTTTAGAGTGATGATAATTGACAGGAATAATGATTTTATTCATCATAGGCCTATTAATGAGGGGTAAAGATTGTGGCCTTTGGTGAATATAATGATAACCCTAATTTTCTTACACTTTAAATTATCATAGGCCTTATAATGAGGCTGCTGAGGATTTATTATCAGACTCATTAATGATATTATTATTAATATTATTATTCACACATACATTATACATTCATTACACATATACACATACATTCATTATACAAACACAAATCTTCGTTATAAGAACAACAAAATTTAAGAGTGTGGTGTGAGGCAACGGCGCCCATATAATGCCTATAACACTATAAGAGATTATATAGATTAGAAAAAAATATAGAATTATGGATTACCTATGGAGAGACGTAACCAGTTTTTGTCCCTCAATAGATCACCGTGCATACCTCCATCCTCCATCCCCCCCCCCCTCCTCCTCTATCCCCCCCTCCTCCTCCTCCTCCATCCCCCATCCTCCTCCTCCTCCTCCCCACCTCCAACACTAATGGCATGGGCGGTGAGTCGTCGGATAGGGAGGGAGGGGGTAAATTAGTGGGGGGGGGGTGAAGAGTGGGGGGTTGGTAGGGCGCGTGCCGGCCGCTGATGTGGTGGTGGTAGGTAGGGACCGAGGGGGGGGGGAGTTATTTTCAAGGTAGTAATGTTGGGGATATTGGTGGGGACAGTTTGGGAGTTTTTGTGGGAGAGAATTGAAGGGTATGCTGGTGATGGTGGAGTTGAGATGAGTGTTGGGGATTGTGATGGGGAGAGAGGGAGAGAGGGAGGGAGGAGAGAGAGAGAGAGAGAGAGAGAGAGAGAGAGAGAGAGAGAGAGAGAGAGAGAGAGAGAGAGAGAGAGAGAAAATGCCGATGATCCATAGAAACCTTATACCATCCAGCATATACAAATTAATTAAACCCCTAAAACTCAATACTCCCACCAAACACATTACTCCTGTAGACATATATATATATATATATATATATATATATATATATATATATATATATATATATATATATATATATATAACCATATTTGATATAACTAACAAAGACTCTTCCTGTAAAACGTATGTCATGTATGAAAGGATGTAAAAATATAACATCTTTTAAATCAAACCAGGTACAGAACCAGACGTATATATATATGTATTTTTCTTCAGTATTTTCCCACGAAGTACACCCGCTATTCTTTTCGGGAGAAATACGAGCAAAGTTTATGTGAGCACATATGTTGTGGTTGTAGGGGTGGGGAGGGGATGACTCGCAGGGTAGGGAAGGGAGAGAGAGAGAGAGAGGGGGGCCCACCCCATGAGGGCCCAGCCCCAGGAGGGCCCAGCCCAGGAGGGCCCAGCCCAGGAGCCAGTCCCAACACAAAGAGCGACCGTTGACAGAATCCCCCGGAGCACTGACTCGTTTTCGCGTGTGAAAGGTGAGGGGTTTTTTGGGGGTCTTGTTTTCGATGCAACGAAACCCGGGAAACCTTTGATTGCTAGAGGTGCTTGTGTTATAAGGACAAGAAGGGCTTGGTTTTCAACGGACGAGGTGGTTAAAAATGAGGGCGTTCAGGTATGTGTATGGATTCCCACTCACGATCGCGTTGAAATCTCCAACCAAATAATCTTTGCTTGCGAATTATTTGTAATTATTTTGACACTGGTGTTATTTATGTGCTTTTAACTGAATTTAGAGGATGAAATGGAGATACTGATTATGTTTTGTAGATTATTACTCGATTTTTTTACAGGTGAAATGAGTGAACTTGCATTTTGAATGGTATTTAATTTGCAGTCTATCTTGAGGTTATCTTGAGATGATTTCGGGGCTTTAGTGTCCCCGCGGCCAGGCCTCCACCCCCAGGAAGCAGCCCGTGACATCTGACTAACACCTAGGTACCTATTTTACTGCTAGGTAACAGGGGCATAGGGTGAAAGAAACTCTGCCCATTGTTTCTCGCCGGCGCCTGGGATCGAACCCAGGACCACAGGATCACAAGACCAGCGTGCTGTCCGCTCGGCCGACCGGCTTCCTTATGTGTCTAGCACACATAATATATTTAAGTTCAGAATTGCTGCAAATCACTTGTTTTCTGTGCAAAAATTTTACGTTCACTGAATCTACTGAGAAACAAAATTCTACCTAGCTTGCCTAAGGATAGGCAAAACAACAACTTTGTTTTCTTTACAGTTTTGGCTCTGCAGAGTCTGACTTTATTTGTGGATATTAATGAGGAATAAAGACTTATTCCCTAATTTTAAAAGGTAAATTTTGTTATAATTTTTTTTAATATAGTTACATAACGTTTCTTGGCATACTCCGGCCGAGGGCCACACGCTTACATTCCCACATGCTGCAGCATGATAGAATAAGACTTTCTTGAGGGTATGAGAATAGGACATTCTATACCCTTCCTCCCAGGTAGTTAAGCAGGTATGAAGGTAGTTAGGAAAGGGAAGGTGTTATCCCAACATCCGTCCCGCTGCTGGGAAGGGATTAAAATACGGCTAAAGGAGAGGGGGGGTATATGGAAAGCCTGGACTGAATTTCCCTGTCCCTTACGGCATTAGAGACCGAGAAAGGGACAGGAAAGGAAAAGATGGAACTCCCTGATAACATTTCTCCCTTCTTTACAGCTCACAAGTTATCGGACTCTTATCCCTTGCTGACCAATAATGTGGAACATACCAGCGTTAGGGTTTTCAGACGCACATGTCACTTCAGCTATAAAATAACCTGAAACGTGTTCTTGGTTAGATATAGTTTCGCGTCCTGCTAAACCCAAATATACATATAGATATTTTTTCAGGGGGACATATTTCGATTCAGTTATATGCTGCCAATAAGTATTTTTGCATGTATCTATATATCTTTAAACCTATAACTATATTTGTCGATAAATAATACCGAATTCTTAATTAAAATAGGTTTTTATCTTTATTTGTACTTAATATCTTATATGTCCAATTAAACTTTCTTGCCTCTCTCTCTCTCTCTCTCTCCCTCTCTCTCTCTCTCTCTCTCTCTCTCTCTCTCTCTCTCTCTCTCTCTCTCTCTCTCTCTCTCTCTCTCTCTCTCTCTCTCTCTCTCTCTCTCTCTCTCTCTCTCTCTCTCTCTCTCTCTCTCTCTCTCTCTCTCTCTCATATCCTGAAGCACAACCTTCACTTTCATCCTGAAGAACCACTCTCACCCTGAGGCACCACTCTCACCCTGAGGCACCACTCTCACCCTGAAGCACCACTCTCACCCTGAAGCATCACTCACCCTGAGGCACCACTCTCACCCTGAAGCACCACTCTCACCCTGAGGCACCACTCTCCCCCTGAGGCACCACTCTCACCCTGAAGCACCACTCTCACCCTGAGGCACCACTCTCACGTACCCTGGAGCACCACTCTCACCCTGAAGCACCACTCTCACCCTGAGGCACCACTCTCACCCTGAAGCACCACTCTCACCCTGAAGCACCACCCTGAAGCACCACCCTGAAGCACCACTCTCACCCTGAAGCACCACTCTCACCCTGAAGCACCACTCTCACCCTGAAACACCACTCTCACCCTGAAGCACCACTCTCACCCTGAAGCACCACTCTCACCCTGAGGCACCACTCTCACCCTGAAGCACCACTCTCACCCTGAAGCACCACTCTCACCCTGAAGCAACACTCTCACCCTGAAGCACCACTCTCACCCTGAAGCACCAATCTCACCCTGAATCACCATCCTGAAGCACCACTCTCACCCTGAAGCACCACACTCACCCTGAAGCATCACTCTCACCCTGAAGCACCACTCTCACCCTGAAGCACCACTCTCACCCTGAAACACCACTCTCACCCTGAAGCACCACTCTCACCCTGAAGCACCACTCTCACCCTGACGCACCGCCCTGAAGCACCACTCTCACCCTGAAGCACCGCCCTGAAGCACCGCCCTGAAGCACCACTCTCACCCTGAAGCACCACTCTCACCCTGAAGCACCACTCTCACCCTGAGGCACCACTCTCACCCTGAGGTACCACTCTCACCCTGAAGCACCGCCCTGAATCACCACTTTCACCCTGAAGCAGCGCCCTGAAGCACCACTCTCACCCTGAAGCACCACTCTCACCCTGAAGGACCACTCTCACACTGAAGGACCACTCTCACACTGAAGGACCACTCTCACACTGAAGCACCACTCTCACCCTGAAGCACCACTCTCACCCTGAAGGACCACTCTCACATTGAAGCACCACTCTCACCCTGAAGCACCACCCTGAAGCACCACTCTCACCCTGAAGCACCACTCTCATCCTGAAGCACCACTCTCACACTGAAGCACCACTCTCACCCTGAAGCACCACCCTGAAGCACCACTCTTACACTGAAGCACCACTCTCACCCTGAAGCACCACCCTGAAGCACCACTCTCACACTGAAGCACCACTCTCACCCTGAAGCACCTCTCTCACCCTGAAGCACCTCTCTCACCCTGAAGCACCACTCTCATCCTGAAGCACCACCCTGAAGCACCACCCTGAAGCAGCGCCCTGAAGCACCACTCTCACCCTGAAGCACCTCTCTCACCCTGAAGCACCTCTCTCACCCTGAAGCACCACTCTCATCCTGAAGCACCACCCTGAAGCACCACTCTCACCCTGAAGCACCACCCTGAAGCACCACTCTCACCCTGAAGCACCTCTCTCACCCTGAAGCACCTCTCTCACCCTGAAGCACCACCCTGAAGCACCTCTCTCACCCTGAAGCACCACTCTCACCCTGAAGCACCTCTCTCACCTGCTATTGACAACTCTGCCAGAGGGCGATGGCGTCGAGCAGCTCCTCGTCCTCGGGGGAGTTGGCGGGGTCGTAGGTGTCGAGGGCGTCGAGGGCGTCGGGGAGGATGGTGGTGGTGGTGGTGGTCGTCGTGGTGGGGGAGAAGACGCTGGTGACGCTGCCCACCGTCGACGCCGCCTCCGGGGCGGAGAACGCCGAGTCGTAGGAGGGCGTCGGGGAGGCGGCGGCGTCGCTGCACGTCGGCGACACGGACGACACGCTCATGGGGTACACTGACGCGGCCACCGGGGACACATTTTCGCTGTAGTAGTAACTCGGGTACTGGATGACGCGGTACTGGGACTGGGTGAGGAGGGTGGTGGGGGCGACGGCGTTGGTGTAGGGCAGCGAGGGCGCCCTGGGGGCCGCCGGCGAGGGCTGCGACGACACCACCAGGGTGTTGGTGTGGCGCATCAGCGAGTCGTGGTCCTCCAGCAGCTCCTGGAGGGATCTGATGTAATCCACCGCCTGCTTCAGCGTCTCCACTTTGCTGATCTTTTTGGCCTTGGCGGCGCCTGGGATGTGCTGTCGGAGCGTCGCGAAGCCGTTGTTGACCTGCTTGACGCGGTTCCTCTCGCGGGCGTTGCGACGCGCGACCGCCACGGGCGCCGGCGACACCACGTACCCGACGCCGAAGTTGATGCGTCGCTTGCACTTGACGGGGTCGGGACTGGGTTCCGAGAGCTTCCTTTTTATCCCCGTCTTGGGCGGCGTTAAGGTGGCCGGGGAGCCGGCCGTGGTGATCACTGTCATGGTCTTTGGGACAGTTAGGCCCTTGTGCGGCGACGGACGGATAGGCACCAGGCGCTGTGTGGTGATGGCCGACATCCTGCTGGAATGACGCGTGCGGCACAAGCGGCGGACCTCTACTAACTACCCCAAAACTCGCGCCTCTTGTATTTATAACCTCGGTGCGCTAGGCCACGCCCACCGCGGCCAGGTGACCGTCCCGCTCCCGCTCCCAACACGCAAACATTTCCCACACGCACGCAATCCCTTCCACCATCAACTATCCATCGAAGTGGACCTCACGACGTGCTGCTTTACGAACCATTGCGTCAAATTTCCACCGCGAAAAGCTTCTTTAGCGGCGAGAAACGAGGTGCGGTAGTTGACGATATGGCGAGAGTTGGCAGGCGGTAGGGGCGCGTGGCGAGGCGCGCGACCAGGGCGCGTGCCGGCAGCGTGGGGCCCCCGCCAGCACCCGCCACACCACTACACACTCTCACACTCCACCTTCATTATCACACTACCACGCCGCCTCCGTCGCTGGGGCCCAGTTACTCCAGCAGGAGTAACCACCTTCCCCCCCACCGCTCTTCCGTGGCCGCCTCCAGAAGCCACAACGACGCCATATATCGCCTTCAGAAGAGCTGTGGCGATGTTTGAAGAGACACACACGCCTCCGGTGGCGACGGGTCGGTGGTGGGGGGACGGGGGGGGGGGGTGTAGGGGCCGGTTATCAGTAGCCAACCCGCACACACGCACTCACTCACTGGCACACGCACCTACGAACAGTCACTTACGCGCGCGCACACACACACACGTAGTAAGCGCACATACGCGTGCCACACTCACCTTGGGTGTCGCCCGGTAAGGGCACCGAGGAAGACGACTTGTTCCAGCCTTTCATTTTTGAACAGACTTTTAGATATGAGATATTGATATTAGATCTACTGTGTGAGTGTGTGTGTGTGTGTGTGTGTGTGTGTGTGTGTGTGTGTGTGTGTGTGTGTGTGTGTGTGTGTGTGTGTGTGTGTGTGTGTGCGCGCGTGTGTGGGACAATAGGCCCACTGAAGCCTCTTTTCTCCCTGTGTTCTCCTGATGGCTGGGGCAGTAGTGCTGGAGGTCCTGTCTTAGTGCTTCAGCACGACTGAATATAACAGCGTGAGCCAGCTAACTCTCGGATACATTCAACCATCTGTTTAAAACTTCTCGTCTCTGCTTAGTTGGACGCCCGACGCTCGGGGCCAGTCTCACCAGACTTTGCAACATGACTGGTCTTTGGCCGGGGATGTTCAAAGGCGGGTCGGGGTCTGCTCTCCCTATGTTTCCATTCTTTGCATGAAATGGCAAATAAAATATTTTTTTCCAATCTCGCTAAATACCAGACGCCATCCTCACTAGGATTTATAAACATTGTTTTCAACATGATTATATATTAGTTTAACTATTGTAGTTTATTGTAGTACTGTAGATGGGATAGTGGTGAAGATGAGAGGTTTATAAAGGATAAACTCCTGCCTAGCTTCCCCTTCTTCTTCCCCTGCTCCTCTTTCAACACAAGCCTGCCCTTGCTGCTTTAAAAGTAGGGGGGGGAAGGGTAGTCCATAATGGAGTGGTGACCACTGAGGCGGCAGGAAGCAGGTTCAGGGCAATGCACGTGTGTTTTTGTGCGTAGAGGCGATGTTTTGGGGCAACAGGTACAGCTGGAGTACTTGGCTTGTGTTGGTGAGGGGTGTGGTGGTGGGGAGAGGGGGGAGATGGTGGGGGTGAGGGGGGAGGTGGTGGGGGTGAGGGGTGGTGGTGGTTGCAGCTGTCCCTGCAGGCTGAAGTCAAACCGTGCTTGGTATGAAGGTGGTGGTAGTGTGGGGGGTGGTGGTGGAGGTAGTGTGGGGGGTGGTGGTGGAGGTAGTGTGGGGGGTGGTGGTGGAGGTAGCGTGGGGGGTGGTGGCGGAGGTAGTGTGGGGGGTGGTGGCGGAGGTAGTGTGGGGGGTGGTGGTGGAGGTAGTGTGGGGGGTGGTGGTGGAGGTAGCGTTGGGGGGTGGTGGTGGAGGTAGTGTGGGGGGTGGTGGTGGAGGTAGTGTGGAGGGTGGTGGTGGAGGTAGTGTGGGGGGTGGTAGTGGAGGTAGTGTGGGGGGTGGTAGTGGAGGTAGTGTGGGGGTGGTGGTGGAGGTAGTGTGGAGGGTGGTGGTGGAGGTAGTGTGGAGGGTGGTGGTGGAGGTAGTGTGGAGGGTGGTGGTGGAGGTAGTGTGGGGGGTGGTAGTGGAGGTAGTGTGGGGGGTGGTGGTGGAGGTAGTATGGAGGGTGGTGGTGGAGGTAGTGTGGGGGGTGGTGGTGGTGGTGGAGGTAGAGGGGGAGGTGGTGGGGGGCGATGGTTGAAGAAGTGGTGGTGGTTGTGTTGTTGGAAATCATTTTAACGTTGTTATAATAGTGAGAGCGCCAATAGGTAAGGAAGGAAGAGAGCCCGATAGGTAAATAAGAGAGAGAGAGAGGGGTTAAGCAACTAGCCATCTCAAGAGATAGAGAGAGAAGTGACTGCTGGTGGTACTTGAAAGATCAGAAGATAACCTGATAAGCTCAATATGTCAGTGACGATATGAAGCTTCTACTATTTTAACAAGGTTTCACTCCCCCTGCTAATATTAGCAGGCGCCTCGCCACTGATACCTGCACATTTAGACCTCTACCGAATCCTTCAAACTATTCTCAATAATAATTCGCAATCCATTTCATTCAAATTCATGCAATCCATTATAAATCAAATTAGCTTATTATAATACTTAAAAATTCTATAATACATTGGAGGAAATTATTTTAGGGGACACTGAGTAAAATATATAAACAACGCAAATTATTTGGTTGTAATATACGGTACCTGGCAACTTGACGGGGAGGTCGGAGGCTTGTAGTGGGTCAGTCGAGGAGTCGCCGCCGTCGGGGGAGGGTGTGTGAGGCAGCGGCGATGCTTACTACCTCATCCCATTGTACGCAAATCTTTCCATTAAAGATCTTATAGTAACAATTCATTTATTTTTTTTTAATTGTTCTTCCCCCCCCCCCCCCCCCCCCCCCCCCCCCCCCCCCAGATTTCTGATATCTCCAGATTAGCCATATAAGCTCTGGCAAATATTATCGAGTAAAGTTTTGACAGGGACAGATTCAAAAGTTTTTTTTCTGTACATAAAATTCTTAAATATTTCAAAATTTCTTTTTAATTTTAATAGCATTTATTCGATAATTTTTTTTTAGAACATCTTAATTAAGATTCGAGTCCAAAAAAAGATTTGAGATTGCCTCGAAATGCAGCTTTTTTAATTTGCCTTTTTGCTGAATTTTGTTATCCGAGTTTCACTTTGGCAAGTTTAAATTAAATTACAGTGCGAATTGGAATAGATGTTCCTTTGTTGACCAGACCACACACTAGAAAGTGAAGGGACGACGACGTTTCGGTCCGTCCTGGACCATTCTCAAGTCGATTGTGTCGATTCCTTTACCATTACTAGAACTTAGGAACTGTCATACTGCGTCAGTTTATTTAGGAATTGGTACATTATGAGTTGTTTTGTGTACGTACAGTAGAAAGGGTAGCCGGCGGTGCCCGGGGTCTATCTCTGCTCACCCTCAAACCCCTTCTTTCACCTATCCCCACCCCCGCTCTTCTCCTTTCTATCGCAAAACATCCTCCCCCTCTCTCTCTATCTTCCCCCCCTCCCCATCACCCCCTCTCCACTCCGCTATCCTCATCCCCTCTCTCACCTCACATCTTCCCAAGCTCCCCCCCCCTCACATCCCCTAATTCCCTCTCCCCCCTCATCCCCTCTCCTAACCTCCCCTCTCCTTCCTCCTTTACCCCCCCCCCTCCCTTTTCCCCACTCTTCCTCTTTCCTTATCCTCTTCACTCTTTTCCTCTCTCCCTCTCCCCCTACTTTACTCCCTCCCCCCCCCCCCCTCTTCTTCTCCATAATCTTAGGCAACATTCATATAGTTAGTTATCAAGGAGGGTGAGAGCCGGATATCTGCGGAGATGAGTTTCCAAACAGTCAGTTGACTTGATTACTAAAACACACTTTATTGCGAGAATAAGTTCTAAATGCGAGACAACCAGCTCATTAATATACTTAATAAATTGTACCTACACAAACTTGGTTGTTGACCGATGGAGTGATGTGCTTGAGTCTGGCATAGCGTCAAGCTGCGCCGGTGACTGAGCGCCTTATGTTGTAATTACCGCCCTCTCGTTTGTCCGCGACTTTGAGGGTGGTTTAGTATTGGAGTTGATGCCTTTCAACCTCTGGAGGGTTGTTAAGACCACCCAGGTGATTATTGACCAAGCAGCAAGTCTACTTCAGTCCCAAGCGTAGTACGGGACTAGAGAAAACTCTTAGTGTGTTTATACTGAAAAACGGCGTAATTTTGGTAAATATACACTGAAAAACGGCGTAATTTTGGTAAATATACACTGAAAAGTGGGATATTGAGGTGAATATATACTGAAAAACGGCGTAATTTAGGTGAATATACACTGAAAAGCGGGGCACTTTTGGTGAATATAGACTTAAAAACGAAGTACTCTTATTGTATATACCCAACGATGTCCGTGCCCGGTTAAGGAATATATAAAGATTCGTGATAGAATCATTGACCTTAAATGTTTCTGTCGTATTCCACAACAGCTCGAGCGCGGCTTTCCTGAAGGGGGGCGAGGCGGCGGCTCGGACAGTCATTGCCAACATCACACACGAAAAGGTGCTGATAAAGCTGGATTTTTGAAAAGCTTTCTACCTGGTAAGGAGGGAGGCAGTGTAATGCATATTGTGAATCATTTTAACCCTCCCTCGACCTATTTGTACAGGCATGCTGCTCTATTTGTACAGGCATGCTGCTCTATTTGTACAGGCATGCTGCTCTATTTGTACAGGCATGCTGCTCTATTTGTACAGGCATGCTATCCTATTTGTACAGGCATGCTGCTCTATTTGTACAGGCATGCTATCCTATTTGTACAGGCATGCTGCTCTATTTGTACAGGCATGCTATCCTATTTGTACAGGCATGCTGCTCTATTTGTACAGGCATGCTATCCTATTTGTACAGGCATGCTGCTCTATTTGTACAGGCATGCTATCCTATTTGTACAGGCATGCTG